GTGCTTAACGCCCAATGTCCACCTGAAGAATGGCAGCCTTCGCGGGGTCCCCAAAGAGTCACTGCGTTCCAGAACACACCCAGATGTCATCACGAGGGCTCCGCTGAAAACCCTGCTCGAAAAAGGAGACTCACTTCTAATGTGATGTGGAGAAAAATAACATATTTCTGAAACGTTTAAGCGGGGAGAACTAGAGAAACGTAGCAATGTGCTCAAGCTCCGTGGACAAATTCAATGTTTCTCCCCGTGAGAGCGCCGACCCACCGTATTGCCTGCCCTCTCATCCAATTTGCAGGGAGATGCTAAAGGCTTAGTATTTCAAATAGGAGAGGCCAGAAAGTATTAGACAGCAAGTGTTTCACTAGGGCCAGCTCGCCGCTACCTGTCCAATGGACAGGTGCCAGGCATAAGGCCGAGCGCTAGGGCCCTAGGGCCAGACAGTGCGTTTGGGCCTCAGCTCCTTTTCCCCACAGGAGAGGGACCTCAGGGGCAAGATCATGATGGCAGTGGAGAGGGGTCCCAATGTGACAGGGTTGTTACAGAACTAAGGGAGATAGTGAAGCACTTGGAACAGCACCCAGTATGACTCAAATTCATACCTCTATTACTCTGAAAACACCAACCAAGCCTGCAAAATGGCTCATTCCTTTTAGTCAGTCAACTGGTATGTAGAAAATAATAAGATATCTGTTGTCATTTTTCTTCTTGGCTATTCATTGAATCTTAAAGGATGATGAGGGAAGGGAAAGAACCAGTGAGCACCTAGCGGTGTGTCCCAGAACGGAGCTGGACTTCTATAAATACAGCAGAACGTTTCTTCACATTTGCTGTGCGAGCTGATATTAACCAGGTTAACAAAGTCTGGGAAGGTTCTGGAACTACTGAAGGTCGCAAAGCTGACCGAGTGGACAGACTGGGCCTTCAACCCCAGGTCAGTGAGAACAGAGCCTGGACGCCTCATTCCCTCCACAGAACTTGTTTTCTGTTTTGTTGTTTTATGACGAGGATAGTTTTTCTCAAGTAATTTCTTCTATTAAAAAAATAGAAGCCAAAACTCTTCAACGGTTTTCCATCCCTTGCCTGAGGACAGTCTTACGCCTTTGCATGTACCCAAGGTCCTCATCAGTTTAAGCCAAACCCGGCCGGCGCCCCCAGCACACCCGCAGACAAACCTTCTCCTGCGGTCCAGGGAGACCCACCCTGTGTCCCCCCACTTCTTCCCAAATCTCTCCTTTCCCTCTGTCATCCAAAGCCACACTGCCACCTCCAACAACTGGGCTCAGGTCTGACACTCTTTGCTCGCCCTTCCGAGGCCACACCGCTGCCCGGCACTGATTCACTGCTGGGTTCTGTCCAATCTCTCCACACCACCACAAGGCCACAGGTGAGACACCTTGGAAGCACAGGACACGGGAACCCAGATGGTCACCACACAGGCGCTTCTGTGGAGCAGGGGCACGGAAAGCAAGGATCAAGCTGCACCTAAGTCACCTCACGAAGGGTCAAAGTAGCCATGACACTGACGATGATGTGCTAGTTCCCATCAAGCCTGATGTTGTCACCCAATTAGCAGAATAAATTGATTTCCTTCATAATGGGCTCTGTCTCCGCGTTCATTTGCCTGTGTGAGCTCTAAGGGAGGATTCGTGCCTGGAGAAAAGGTGGGGCAGGGCGAGGGGAACCACAGGAAAGGCCTGATGCCATGACGGGCAGCAGGAGGGTGCACGGCTGCCCATGACAGCAAAGCATGGCTCATCAAAAGTAAACACGGAACAGGGAGACCAAGGGGGGCTAAGGAATTGTGCAGTTGCTCCTAGCATAAAAACTATTAGGCAAATGCCTACTGAGTCGTACCCATTCATGGCTCTGTTAGGGAGCAAGAATGTTGAGAACAAGGCAGGAACTTAAAATAAAGATGATTGCCCGAGACATGTTGCACAACGGACATAAAAATAAATCTGAAAGTATAATTATACCCTATTGCAAGGATTTAAATAGTTAAACGGTCCAGTTTAGTGTCTGCTTTATTTCCAGAAATCAATAAGTAAAATAAACCTGTTAGCCAGGACTCTATCAGGTGCTGTGAGCCCAGTTTTGTGCAGGATGGCTAAAATAATCCACATGCCTTTATTTGCAAGTATTTTCCATTCTTTTCAAAAACAACGGCAAACCCAGCATGTAATTTTTTCCCAACTAACTCCTCTTACCTCCATGCCTCATAACTATTCAAGGGATAAAAGAAAAAGGCTCCCTCAAAGGCCTCCCACATATTTTGAAACTTCTACAATGAGAAACGTCCATTAACGTGAGAGCTCGCCCCCATCCACAAGTGTTAGTTTTAATTACAAGTGATCCTGTGTATCAGGCCCTGCCAGGGCGACCAGTCGAGGGGGCTCCGAGAATTTCCCAGATCGTGCATTTTAATTCACTACAATGCTTTGTCGCTGGGGGTTTCAGCGTTCAGTAATAATGTGCTTTGTTCTCAAAAATGACCCCCACACCTGCCAAGTGAAAAGAAAGCCAAGGAGACCCTTGCAGGATGGTGTGCAATCACGCTGCCCCCCAGTGGGCACTGCCGGTACAGCAGCCCTAAAGAAGGTCAGCACTAATGGGGAGTTAGCACCTCTGCATCAGGCAGACAGAAAAAGCGCCGGACACCCGTAAACACGAGGAGCAAGAAAAACTAAAACAGAAGTGCATCTAAGAGAAAAGCCAAGTGATCTCCTCTAAAGATTCCATGGGCATCAAATAACCAAGTGTGCAGGTGTGAAATACACTCAAAAGCCAGGTATACAAACATGTCTACGGAGTACGTAAAACTTTTACATATGAAAACCTGAGGCAAAAAACATCTCTGCATCTGCAAGTGTGCATATGAACAAGACACACAGATTAACTGCACTCGCCATTCTCATAGCGGAGAAAACGGAAGATTCAGTCTGCAGAATATAACGGCTGTGCTAATCTGATAGGCAAAAGAATAAGCAAAAGATAATTTGAACACTGTGGGGAGGAGGAAACGTGGAGAGTGGACTAAGGGGGCTATGTGATTCTCCATTTCAAATGCAATTATTTCCCAGGATTCAGAGCAGGGAAGGAAATACTTGAGATTTCATAAATATTAAAAATTCACAGGCCAAGCATGGTGGCTCACACCTGTAATCCCAGCACTTTGGGGGGCCGAGGCGGGGGGATCATGAGGTCAAGAGATTGAGACCATCCTGGCCAACATGGTGAAACCCCACCTATACTAAAAACACAAAAATTAGCTGGGCATGGCAGCACGCACCTGTAGTCCGCCCAGCTACTCAGGAGGCTGAGGCAGGAGAATCGCTTGCCCCAGGGAGTCGGAGGCTGTAGTGAGCCGAGATCACGCTACTGCACTCCAGCTTGGCGACAGAGCAAGTCTCTGTCTCAAATAAAAATTAAAAAAAAAAAAAAAAATTCACACAAAGTCATAAAGCCACGAATAGGAAACTGCCTTGCTTTCTTTTTGGTTATATATCAAAAGTTTTAAATTTCTCCCTAAATTCATAAGTAGTGAGGCTTCCTTTACACAATGCAAATCGAATTCCAGGAGGAGAGGCAAAGTACAGATCCAGCCACATATGAGTAGCAGTCCCCAATTAGCTAAACCAGGCTAAGCAGCTGACTGTAAAATGTTCAGTACATCTAGGTAGCAGGAAACAGCAGTATCTTCTGCGACACCTACCAATGCTATCATGACACCTATGATAACTTTCATGACAACATTCTAAAATAAAATGTAACTATTTCCACATCACACTCAGACCCATTTCCTCTGGGAAGTGCATGAGGGCGCAGGCTCACTCATCCTCCAGCAAGGATGCTCACGCACAAACTGGCAGTGCCCTCCGCTGGACAGTCCGTGAACCACACCCAAACAAGGAAAGTACTGCTTTCCATTTCTGGGTATTTTGAAATAAAAATACCACGAAACAGCTCAACTATTTATCCTAATATGGTCCCTTCAAAACCACGTAAAAATCTTATGCTTTCAGCAGGCTGGCTCTGATGTGTAAATTAGTTCTAAATTGAGTTCAATCCTCCACAAACATTCTTTGTCTTTGTTACTACATACGTATGATTTATAGTTCTCCCTCCAGGGAAATAAAGTTAAGTTCTTTCACAATTCTTAGAAGAGAAATATGAAATACGGCTCTATGAAGTTATTTCAAAAATGATTTCTAACGAGGCCTAGGATCCTCATGCCATTACCATAATATCTACAATTTCCTTGCTTTCAAATTCATTCTTGCCTATGAAAAAAGATATGATTAGGCACAAAGGTGTATAAAGATGATAGCAAATGACAGCCAGGCACAGTGGCTCACGCCTGTAATCCCAGCACTTTGGGAGGCCAAGGTGGGCAGATCACCTGAGGTCAGGAGTTCGAGACCAGCCTGCCCAACATGGTGAAACCCTGTCTCTATACGTAGGGGTTAAATACAAAAATTAAGCCAGGTGTGGTGTGGCATGCACCTGTAGTCCCAGCTACTTGGGATGTTGAGGCAGGAAAATTGTTTGAACCTGGGAGACAAAGGTTGCTGTGAGCCAAGACCATACCACTGCACTCCAGCCTGGGCAACAAAGTCAGACTCTGTCTCAAAAAATAAAAATAAAACAAAGTGAAATAATAAAACACAGAGGAAAACACAAGAAAAAAAAAAAAAAAAAACATGTTTTTAAACAAACAGGAATGAAGCATTTCAAGCCCTGAGGCACATCCCCGTTAGTATGGTGGAAGATGAGACTCACATCTCAGCTCTACCACGAATGAGTTCTTGAGCCTTGCACCGTATTAAACTACCAAACAGGAAAAACAGACTGGGCACTGTAGCTCACACCTGTAACGCCACCACTTTATGAGGCCAAAGCAGGAGGACTGCTAGAAGTCAGGAGTTCAAGACAAGCCTGGGCAATTGAGCAAGACCCCATTTCTACAAAACATTTAAAGGATAAAAATTAGCTGGGCTTCGTGGTACATGCCTGTAGTCCCAGGTACTTAGGAGGCTGAGGTGGGAGGATTGCATGAGTCCAGGAGATTGAGGCTGTGGTGGGCTATGATTGAAACACTGTGCACCAGACTCAGTAACAGAGTAAGACCCTATCTCATACACACACACACACACACACACACACACACACACAGAGTAACATAGCAGCTACCTCGCAGAGTGTTATGAGAATCCATTTATGTGAAGCACCGAGAAACATGGGTTATACTCATTAAACACCATGTTACATACAAACATATAGACAAAAGGTAGACATTCCCTTAATTTCTCTCCATAAAACCTTCCAAGGTTCTATATGCAGGACAGAAGCAAACAGCAATCCCTCTGACTAGCAGCCTCAGTCTTCCTCTTGTACAACTGAAGAAAGAACAACTGGGCCACGGCGGTGAGTGTGGAGTGTGCCATGAGGCGGTGAGGGCCACGGCAGCCACACAGCACACCTGCCCCATCCTGGGCCACGAGGCTGCAGGCATGAATCCTAAGAGCAAAGGGTCTCGGCGCCCTGAAAGGTTCTTTAAAAGATTCTAATACTTGTGAAGCTAGAACTGAAAACCATATGCACCTTTTAAAAGGCATTTTTGGCCGGGCACAGTGGCTCACGCCTATAATCCCAGCACTTTAGGAGGTCAGGGTGGGCAGATCACTTGAGGTTGGGAGTTTGAGACCAGCCTGGCCAACACGGCAAAACCCCATCTCTACTAACAATACAAAACTTAACCGGTGCGTACCTGTAGTTCCAGCTACTCAGGGAGGCTGAGGCTCGAGAATCACTTGAACCTGGGAGGCAGAGGTGGTAGTGAGCGGAGATCACGCCAATGCACTCCAGCCTGGACAACAGAGGGAGGCTCTATCTCAAAAAAAAAAAAAAAAAAAAAGGGGGGGGGGGGGGGGGAGGCACTTTTAGGGAGGACAATTTGACAACACCTATCCAAATTTTAAATGCACACTCCCTGAGCCAGCAGTGCCACTGCCAGTTATGTATTCTGTGGGATGCTGCAGCATTGTGCTTTATGGGAGAAAAAGGAGACAGGAAGGGAGGGAATGTGATCATAAACATGGAATAATTGTCATCAAAACAGGGTGGAACAGGCTTAGCATGTGCACATCAAGAGAGAAACTCAAATTATAAACTAAATTTTAAAAGGAAAATTTCAGAAGAGTATACATGAGTAGGTCTGTTTATACATTTAACATTTCCAGAACAACATATACCGAAAAGTATTTGTGATTAATACCGGGGAGTAAGGTGGGGGAGGGGGTTGAACATACTTCTTTACAGTCTCTGTGATGTGAACGCCTTACCACGAGCACACTTTACGTTATAATTAAAAGAACGTCGATAATGAACTCTTACTTGAATTAAACACACATCCAAGGAGGCCAACGAGGAAATGACAGAGGCCAAAAATGCAAGCCAATTAAAATTAACCAGGTTCTCCCTCCCCGCACCTGCCCACACCCTGAGCCACCAGGGAAGCCTGGGGAAGGCTAGATGGGGGATGGGGGCTTGGCCTATCTTTGCTTCTTCAGCAAAAAGGCACCGTCCTACTTAAGCTAATGTCTGCCAAGGCAGAGCCGGAAGGTATCTGAGCTTCACATTCTGGTCTTTAACAGTGGTCTTTACTGGCAGATTCAGTAGTAGCAACAGGCACCGCATGAAAGTCTAGGGGCCTGGAGGGAGTGTCGGGGCGTACACAAGACAGGAAGGTGCCCAGGAAGGTTAGCAGGCCATTCTGCACATGGCCCTGGCCACCCAAGACCTCCAGCCCAGCACCCCCTCACTGGCGCCCTCCGCCGGTGAGACGCACCGAGCACAGCCGGCTGAGCTGTGCCGCAGTTCATCCGCCCTGAGCCAGCCCCCATCCGTGAAGTGGGCTGATGACCCACTGGTGGGAGGCATCGCGGGAACAGCTCTGCAGGTGGTGGCTGACAGACCATGGAACCCTGCCAGTCCCGCACCACATGAAATGCAGATGGGTGCACAAGGTGTCCAGAAGGGAGGGTGGAGGCAGCAGAGGAGAGGGGCGTGGGGCCTCCCCACCAGCTGTGCCTGACTAGAAACCCCCTGTCTGTGAACAAGACTAAATGGTAATGAACACCTAAGGTCCCAGGGCCGAGGGGGAGCACGGGGACGCTGTGCCCAGAGCCCACTCCCCCATGAGTGCAGTCCCCACCCACCAGGGGCACGTCACACCCTGCAGGCAGCACCCACTCACTGGGGGCCCCTGACCAGGTAGGCACGGTCCCCGCCCTCCCTGGGCCCGCACCTGGGCATGCAGGCTCCCCACCCCCGAAGGCCCACGCCCCCAGGCACAGTCCCTGCCTTCCTGAGCCTCCTGCCCGGCCGCACTCCCCATCATCTCCAGCTGCTTCGGTACTGGCCACCTCCCTCTCCCCACTCAGTCCTTCCAACCACCACATCAAAGGACCCGGCTGTCACAACTCTTTCTAAGAACATTCTTTTGCTTTCTAAGCCCTCTCGAATGAAAGCCGCCCCTGAGCCTCTGTCCTGATCCACCCAGCCCTGTCTGGCCCCACTCCTCACCTCCCACTCACTCTGCACCCCCCACCCTGGCTCTGCCCCACCAGCCTGCTCTCCCTGAGACCCTGAGCCACTCTGCCTGGCAGAGAACTTCCAGCTCCACTTCTCCTGCCCAGGCCTCTCCCGAGCCCCCAGTCTGATTACCTGCGCAAATTACAATTTGGATGCCAAATTGGCACCCCACTCACCATTACCCAAATTTGCCTAGTGACTGCCCAGACCTCTTCCCCTTCTCTGTGGTACCTGTGATAAACCCTGAGGACAGCTACTTAGACAGCCCCCTCCCCAGGAGCCCCCCATGAGCCCTTGCAATCCACCTCCCCACATAGCATCTCTCAAATCTGGTCACCTGGCCCTCTTGACTGCTGGTCAAGCTACCTGCACCTCCGGCCTAGACTGCAGGGGCCTCCTACCCGGCTCCGCCCTCTACAGGGCAGCCAGATGACCTTCTCACTCTCCTCCAGCAGACCCCAAATCCGCGGCTTCCCACTGCCCTGGTAATTGACTCGGAAACCTTCATATGCGCAGAAGGCCCTTTGCTGAAATGCTCCCCCATCAGGGAAAGCGGACTTGGCCTAGGACCCCACTCCAGGCATCCAGGCCTGCCCTGCCCTGCGGTCTCTGGCACACTGATCTCCACCCGCGGCACTATCAATCCCCCCACAACATAAAGATCACAAGCACAGAAGGCGGCTAGCTCAGGAACCTGATAGGCTGGGTCCTGCGGTCACGTGGCGTCTGCTGGCTGGAGGGACGGAAGGTCCCCCGGCTCTCACCACCTCACCCGGAGCCTCCTCGTCTGGGTCTAACTCTCCCTCTCGGTGCTCAGCAGTGCAACCTCAGCTCCTAACTCTGTGTCCTCTTTGCCTCGAGTTGACAGTGTGAGCGCCATCAGGGCAGGGCCTCCGTGTCCTCTCCCTCACGTCTCCAGCCACAGCACGTGCACAGAACCAGCTCAGTGAAACTCTGTCCAGGGAAAGTCAGTCTGCATGCATTCTAACAGTGCCTCTATGGCCGAGATACATCAAAGCATCCAACACACACACGTAAAACAAAGGACAGAATGGGCATCAAGGCGGTCTGGAATTCTGCTAGTGCTCTGTTGTGTATAAACATAGCACCACAGGGAATCCCCTGAATTCAGGGCACCACCCCACCGCTTTAAAACTGCATCACGTCTCATGTGAGTCTAGGATAACAGTACAGGCCAGGGGTGGTGGCTCACAACTGCATTCTAAGCCGTTTGAGACAGAACTGGGAGGCTCACCTGAGACCAGGAGTTAAAGATTGGCCTGGGCAACACAGCAAGACTCCATCTCTACAAAAAACTAGAATATTAGTTGGGCATGGTGGTGTGCGCCTCTAGTCCCAGCTACCTGGGAGGCTGGGACAGGAGGATGGCCTGGGCCAGCAAGTGGAGGCTGCACCGAGCTCTGACTGCACCACGGCACTCCATTCTGGGCAATTGAGTGAGACCTGTCTCTAAGTAAATAAATAAAAATAAAGGAAATTACAGAACACACACGACTGGAAGGCTCCGTGGAGGGATGCGTATGTGCCTTTGTGTGCACACATGTGTATGCGTGTTTTTCTGATTTTTAATGTACTGCTTGCATAAATTTTTTAGGCTGCAAAACACTGCAAAGCTGTCCATCATGACTGGATATTGAACGCTGAAACCAATATAACAGAAGAGACAAGAAACGAAATTCAAAACCATCTCTCCTTGCCTGCCCTTTGGGGCTTCTAGAGTCAAATCTGCCAGCAACACATCTTCGTGCCTAAGACTGCAGCCCAGGGGAGACATCTGCCCTACAGCTGGAAACTGATAAGACACAGAGAGGAAGCCGGAGGACACCAAGTCTTTACCCAGCTCAGTGGGGCTTCTCCAGGCTTAAGATTTTGAAACTGCTTCATATAAGCAGCAGCTAAATCCCAGGGGCCAGCCCCACACTCCGGCAGTTCTGTGACTGCTATGACATCAAGTGAAGGCTTATTCTCTGGTGCCACAGCACGACTGGTGCCGGCTGACACGGCCCAGGGCGGCGGCAGGAGGGAGCAGTGCTCAAGGTTTCAGCCACGCCAAACCCTTCAACCGCTGCCAGTGCAGAGGGAATCCCAAAATTCTTACCTGGTGGCTTATTTCAAGAACAAATCTACGGAATGAGGACAAAGGATGTATCCTGACAATCTGACTCTCGTTTCTCAGGGTCATCACATAAGGGTAAAATAACAACGATGAAGTCTTTACGTTTGGGCACATTTTTGTGACTGATGGAGATCGGACCTCAATGTAGCACACACAGGTCTGCTAGGACAAGAGCATTCTCAGTGACAAGAACAGTGGAATTCAATGCCCCGTACAGTTTATGAGTTCTAAGGAATTTATTTGCTGAATAATTAGTGGCAAAACTACATACTTTATTTTATTTACTTATTTTAGAAATAAGGTCTTCTTCCCCATAAATTAACAGGAAAATGAGAAAAAAAAAAAAAAAGGAAAAAAAGAAACAGGGTTTCACCATGTTGACCAGGCTGATCTTGAACTCCTGACCTCAAGAGACCCACCTGGCTCGGCCTCCCAACATGCTGGGATTACAGGCTTGAGCCACCGTGCCCAGCCAAGACTACGTATTTTAAATGAGCAAAATAAAGCCTGTACCTTATGCTAAGTTTACTTGTGGCACTGGATTACTTACCCAATTTTCCAGAACGGGCATCTCTTACCATCTGACCAGCAGACAGTACAGCTTAAGGAAAACAACATGAAATGAACCGAGAAATGCAGTTTCTAGAGATCACTCTGCAGCTGCAGCTGGGAGCAACTAAGCATCTCTGTAGGTGCCTGTTCTCGCTGGGGTACTAAGAAACCAAGCTTTTAGAAAAGTAGACATTTGAACAGAAAGGCTATCAGCTGATGAGCAGATTCTTAGGGCGCATTATTAAAATGTGTTAGTATATTTGACATGTTCTAATTCTTCCCAGTTTTATTTTTAGATACTATTTTACTACTAAGAGTAAACCTCCAAGCTAAAATCTGAAATGGAAAAGAAAATCTCTTTAACTGACTAGCTCTTGGGAGAATCACCAGGACACAGAACGTGGGTAAGAGTCTACGTTGCAGTAACTAGGCCATGCCCCCAAAACGCAGCGAGACGCACACACAGTCACAAAATAGCATCCTTCATAAAACAGGCAAGTTAGAAATAACTGAATATATGGTTATCATATCTAACCAATCACAGTCAAAAAATAAATTGTTTTACCTCAATAAAAATCTTTGATAACTCCTTATTTTCATTTTTGGATTAGTACAGATGAATGACTACAATTAGCTAAGCATTTTTTTGTAACCATAATTAAGTCCAGGTACATGAAAAACAAACTCAACTCCCTCATGAATAATTTAGAAAATAATATACTTTATTACTGAAATTTTGCCCTAAAGCTTTCTCTGCTGTCCAAATAATTTCCCAAATGCATTTCAAATTAAACTCCTAAGTTTTCACCTCTCTCCCCTAGGGTGTTTTTCTGCATTACAACATATTTTTATATGTTTAAATGATAGCAATGCTATAAAGTGTTATTTCTCACTGAAAACAGATTAATATCACTTCATACCTCAGAGAGCAGAATAGTAATATGGTAATAAAACAAAGCAGGATCATCACCACTAATAACCTGAGAGGGAAGTCCTGCCAGGACTTCATCTCTATCACAGGATATTCTGGTCATTACTTAGATGGGAACATTTCCCGTATCACATCTCTACTTCAATAATTGCTTTTCGTGTGTGTGTGAGACGGGGTCTCATTCTTTTGCCCAGGCAGGAGTGCAATGGCACAGTCACAGCTCACTGAAGCCTCCACTTCCCTTGCCCAAGTGATTCTCCTTAGTGATTCTACCTTAGCTTCCCAAGTAGCTGGGACCCACAGATGCGTGCCACCACCCCCAGCTAATTATTATTATTTTTTAGGCTGACAGGGTCTCCCTGTGTTGCCCAGGCCCGCATGTACTTTTTTAGAATTACTGTCTCCCTCCCCCAAATTTCCATACACCTCTGAGAGTCTCATAGCCTGTCCGACATCAGAACCACATAACTCCCACTTGGGTATTTATTTTTTTGGAAATGTGACAATAATTGCTTTTATTTCACAAAGAGCTTTATCAACTACTCATTCACTCTCATTGCTATAGTAGGCTTTAAGAGGAAGGAAAAAAAAGGAGGGAAGGAGGGAATAAAGCAAGTAGGCTTTTTAAACCTGGAACTTCGAATTGCCTGTAGTTAACCAGAATCACATTTTGAAGATCCATACATTATTCATCCCTCCCTGTGAATAACCTCACAATGTTCATTATTGATTATCAACAGCAAGCCATGAGCTGGAGTCTAAGCCGATGAGGGCAGGAGCTTTGTCTCCATTGGCGACTGCATCCCAGCATCTGGAAGAGCACCGCGCACTCACTGAAAGGAGGAGCGCGTGAGTTAAACATGGGGGTCGCCTCGAAGTGTCTGTTTTGCACGTGTTTAGCAAAGCCAGCAGTCCCCCGGTAAGACTCCACAAATTTAAAGTTGTTCTGTATTCTAACACATAGACAGTATCAGGGGGGTAACAATGAAAACATAAAGACTTCTCTTCAAGCCCAGAGAAAATACAAAATCTGTCCAAGTTTATATCCCAAAAAGTTTTCTTTTTCTTTTTTTTTTTTCTCTTTTAAGCTTTGCTGGGCTTTGACTGCACCTTTTCTTGATGTGGTCAGCGCACCACACTTCGGGTGTGGCTCCTGTTCTTCTGTGACGTGGCATCCTAACGTGAATCACAGTTCTAATGACTTATCTTTCGATAAAATGCAAGCAAAGGTAAAGTTTCCCTTTCTATCTTCTAATCCGTATCAGTAGCTGCTAAGGCCCGTTTGAGAGAAATCCTAGGATAAGTCAGCTTTTGCAAATATACAACCAAGAAATGATAAATATATTTGGAAGCCTGGCTTTGTACGGTATGAGCTAGCAGCTGGCGCAGGGATACTGAAGTGCTGTTCCTTGGGCCGAAATTAAAACCAGAGAGAATGGAATCAAAAGAGGAGGCTGCAGTGAGATCCCTGATGTTTCATTTTTCTTCTCTGCACACATAGATATGTACCAATTCTAGACTCAAGTCCAACACGCAAATAATATGTGAAGTACTCAGATCTGCTTGTAAACAGAAATATCTTCTTCATCCCAGCATTGCCATGTGGCATGCACATGAGTCTCAAGACCGCATTTGATTTACACAAACAGACTCAAACCTCATCTTAAAATGTACATGTTAACCAAAGATGAAAAACTGTAAGGCCCAGCTGAACTGCAGAGCCAACTGTAATAAATGCAATAATGTTAAGTCAGCTTCAAAGAAATTCTTAAAAGAAACTCCAAAGACTTTCATGAATGTTTTACAGTTATTTTCAATATTGATGCATCTTCAAACCAATGCCAAGAGCTGCCGTGACTGGCTCATCTTTTCATGTTGGTGTGCCACTAGGAGTCTCTGAGAAGACCAAAAATCACTTCACACCACTGCAAGATCTAAACCAGCGGCCCCCAACTTGTTTTGACAAGGACCAGTTTCATGGAAGACAATTATTCCACGGGTGGGGGCTTGGGAGTAGGGTTTCAGGATGAAACCAGCCCATCTCCACCTGAGATCATCAGGCATTAGATTCTCAAAAGGAGTGCGCAACCTAGCTCCATCACACACACAGTCCAGCTGGGATGGAGGCTGACCTGACAGCTGGTGGTGCTTCGTTGGAAATGCTCGCTCCCCAGCGGCTCAACTCCTGCTGTGTGGCCTGGTTCCTAAGGGGCCACGGACCCGTACCAGACAGTGGTCTGCAGGTTGGGGACCCCTGATCTAAACAATACTACACTAATGTGGAAGTCTATGTCCTTGTACAGGATACTTTTAAGGAAGCCCAGCAAGCTCAGAGAGCCGGTCATTTCACACTTCCTAGATGAGCCAGCTGTTCTCTGGGGAGCGGCCAGGGTAAACTCACTATGGTCATTTACAAAAGAATCCTCCAAAAATGGGACACCATCATCATCAGTTTTAAATATAGCTGTGGAGCTACGTCTGCTAAGCATGAGATGAACCAAGTGTGGGAGGTTCCTGAACTTTGATGGATTTCATATGCCCAAAAGTCACATCTGACAGATGACTATGCAAGTATCCAGTAAAGGCCAGGCATGACAGTTGCATACAGAAACATGCATCGCTTAACGACAGGGACACACTCATTCTGAGAAACCAGGGTCTGGGCGCGTGGCTCACACCTGTAATCTCCACGCTTCGGGAGCCAAGGAGGAGGATTATTTGAGCCCAGGAGTTTGAGATCAGCCTGGGCAACACAGCAAGACCTTATCTCTATCACTAATGCGAAAGAGAAATGTGATTCGGGGATTTCACACTTACGCGATCATGCTAGAGTGCACCTGCACACACCTAGAGGGCACGGCCTCCTACACACCCAGGCCACAAACCTGTACAACATGCTATTGTCCTGAGTACTGCAAGCCGCTGAAACACAGCAGTGTCTGTGTATCCAAACACAGACGAGGTACAGTAAAACATACGGCGGACAAGATGACTTAAGGTATGCCACGCAGGCACTCCCCATGAACGGAGCTTGCAGGCCTGGAAGTTGCGTGGGTGGGTCAGCGAGTGTGTGGTGAGTGTCAGGGCCCAGGGGATGACCCTACAGGACTGTCGACTTTAGAACACTGCATGCTGACGCTACACTATGTTTTAAAAAAATTCTTCCTTCCATAATAGATTAACCTTAGATTACTGTCACTGTTTTACTTTATGAACTTCTACTTTTTTCAGCTTTTTGACTCCTGTAACATTTGACTGAAAACACACCCATTGTACAACTGTACAAAAATACTACCTTTCTATCCTTCTCCTATCAACTTTTTTCTATTTTTAAATTATGGTTTCTTTTTTTACTTTTTAAACATTGTTGTGAAAAACTGAGACGGGCTCACATTAGCCTAGGCCTACACGGGGTCCAGATCACCCACACCACTGCCTTCCACCAGCACCTGTGCCCCACTGGAAGGGCTTTAGAGGAGACAGCACACGGGGAGCTGTGTCTTCTGGGCACCTCCTGAAGGCCCTGCTGGAAGCTGTTTTACAATGGACCTCTTTCTTTTTTTAAAAAAGGACTACTCTCTAAAATAACAATAAAAGGGATAGTAAATACAGACACTGTCATGATCAAGTACTGCGCACTGTGCATGACCGCATGTCCTAGACGTTCCCACGATCGCAGCAAGGTAGGTCTGTTCACAGCAGCGGCAGCACCATGGACACGTGAGGAATACGCACCAGGCAACAGGAATTTCTCAGTTCTTTTATAATCTTAGGGGACCTTCGTGGTTTATGTGGTCCGTCACAGACTGAAATGCTTTCATGCCAGTCAGTAACGCTCGCTCTCCTGCCACTAACCTCCTGCTGCATGCCCTGGTTCCTGATGGGCCACGGACCAGTACCACACAGTGGTCTGTGGGTCGGGGATCCGCGCAGTCGCAAATAACGTGACTGTTTTTGTATCTGCATGTGAACTGCGAAGCCAAACGGACCACATGCATCTTGTGGGGTGATGAGCAGGGTGTGTGGTGAGAACTGTGTGCCTGGGCAGGGGAGAACTCTAAAGATGAGCAACTTTTAATAAGTTGCTTTGACAATTAGAGAATGCCAGACAAAAACTGAGTCTTGAGGATTGCTCTTAGAACTTGTCTTCATAATCAATTCACGAATTAAGGCACAGGTTGCCAGCACTTACGTCAGGAAGCACAAAAGAACACTAAAATAAAAAAACCAAAAAGTGCAAAGAGCAGCACACCGGATCACACTGTGGGCACACCGGACCTGGCGCAGGCGAAGGAGGCAGAGCCGCGCCCCGCTGAGTGTGTGAGGAATCACGCGTTCCCGGCCCCTTTCACACAATGACACGGTCCCGGCATCACTTTCACAAAAACTAGATTTTTGCTCCAAATGGCAAAAATCAATATAGTCAAAGACTTTCCATATCTTCTTTTTGTTCTTGTAAGAATGGCACACACGTCCTCTTAAGGCCAGTCTCTCTCTCACATAGTGAGCACTCGCAATCCCTTGACACTCCACCCTAAAGGGAATGCCACCAGCTTCTCAGTGCAGAGAAAGAAGCCCGCACGTCAAGAAGAGAAAGTGGAAAACAGACTTACACCAGGAATTGGTGAAGCCCCTTCCCTGCCTACCAGCCAGACACGGGAGTCCCACAGACAGAAGCCACTGCCCTAGGCAGGAAGTGTGGACGATGAAGCCGAGGACTGCATTTTCTACAGCCAGCCGCCGTCCCCAAAGACGGGTCTGCAGTGACTCCGAAAACCATCAACACTGCCGACAGATCCACAAAGGCCCGGCCCCGCAGCTTGTTTTTCGGGAGCAATGTTAATATTGTACGCTGCTAAGAGACCCGGGCTTCGGAGAAGCTGTATCATACTAGTTGCTCAGACGCTTTTCATCCTGGATAACAAGGAATTTTCCTTTTTTTGGCAGAACAAAGTGGACAGTCTGGTCACTTATCTTCTGCTCGTGTTTTAGATTTCAACACAATTATTTTTTCCTAAGAAACCTGTAAGTGGAATTCCCTTATTCCGGTTGTACCATGCAATCACCCTCCTGGCAAATTTGATATTGCAGAGTGCAGTCACTTCATTGATTAATGGGTGGCCTCTAGGAAGTTCGAAGAAGCAGACACAGTATCTCTTCTTGCTTAACAAGCAGTCCCCACCGTCTGTCTCAGCGTCTGACCCGCACAGCCAGCACTTTTTCCTCCAGGTTCTCATGAGTTCCCAAGCAAGCTGGCTGGAATTCGCTGTTGTTAGAGACAGGGTCTCACTACGCTTCCCACGCTAGATTTGAACTCCTGGGCTCGCATGATTCTCTCCCACCTCAGCCTTCTGAGCAGCTGGGACAACAAGCACATGCCACTGCATTGGGGTCGCTGGCTGAAGTTGTGTCAACAGCAGCCTCTCTCCATGCATGATTTTGGGTCAGGGCGACTTTGCTGGTCCACTGCCAGCCATCAAGAAGTATGTCAAGGAGCATGGACAGAGGCTACTGGCTGAGAAGAAAAGGAAAATGGCCAAGAGGCTTTCACACACAAGTGTGTTGGGGAGGGGCCTGTTTTCTTAGGCAAGCCAAATTTCACCTTCTTCCCAAGCTAAACACCAGATCCCAGAAAACAGGGAATGCGCTTAGTTTGAGAAGTCTGCTGAATGACCACATGGATGGTGAAGCCAGCAAGATAGAGATGTGACAGAAATACGACTCCAAGACAGTCAGTATTCTTCCAGTAACAGACAATAGCACAGATATGGATGGCTCAGCCTCACATAAAAACAATGCCCTTACTGCAACGCATACTGTCAGGGGGACGGATCGCTTCCCACTCACACCTAACAAGGAGATGACCACCCTCCATCAGTGTGCTGATGGTTTCCCTAGAACATTCCATATGGAAAAGATAGACACGCATATACCTTTTAGAGAATGAAAATACATTAGGCCAAGGCAGACTACAACCATAACTGACAACTATGTGCATTCTTTAGTTGTAAGAAGGAGCTTATAATATAAAGTTAACAGTGCATAAGTGCGTTAGGTTTTGGCTGTTATATAAACATCTGCATTTCAAATAAAAAAATGAGTAGCTGGGGCAGATGGCCCGATTATCTGGGAGGACATTTAAGCAGAAGTGCTCATTTTAAAGACAAAACTTAGAGCTCTCTAACGGAATGGGAGGGGCACAGACTGGAGAAAAAATAATAATAATAATCTCATGCTTCAGAGAACGAAGTGTTATGCACTCGCATGGGTCACTTTTAAGGAAGAGAAAGCTTTGGAGGGTCTTATATAAGTGGTAGTAATCAGAAAAATGGTACTTCGGGCTGTTGCAAGGACTGTGTTCTTTAAGGGGAAGCAAATTACGTGCAAACATTTTTAAAAAACAGTATTTGAGAGTAGAACCCATTAAGCAAAAAAGCCTGTTTCTGATACTAAAATGTGCAACATGTGATGTCCTTCTAAAGTCCTGGACCTACATATGCTCTCTCAACCAGCAAGGAAGAATCTCCCTGGCCTCTTCCCTCACATCCAATAACACTCCTTCCACAGTCCCTCAACAGAAACAGGTTCATCATGTTTAAGGACTGAAAAGCCATACAGCTTCACCTGTGCCCTTGTTTTGACAAACTCTCTCCTATCTGAAGAACAAAAGGAAAAAGATATGCTCCCACACGGAACACAAAAATAGCGCGTATAGCACGAGGTCTTCTGCGAAGCATGACGATGAATACGGGGGTTTGGAAGGTAAAGACTCAGACCAACATCACAATTTTATATAAACATGCATTTGAAACGGCCAGGTGTGGTGGTGCACCTTGGTCCCAGCTACACAAGAGGCTGAGGCAGGAGGATCACTCGAGCCTAGGAGTTCAAGGATGCAGTGAGCTATGACTGCGCCTGTGAATGGCCACTGCACTCCAGCCTAGACAACACAGCAAGACCTCATCTCAAAAAAAAAAAAAAAAAAAAAAAAACATGAAACAAACAAACAAAGTGCATATGAAGATGGGATTTCTGAACTTGATCGTTCCAGAAGACCCTGAGAAAGCCTCAGTGTCTGCACTGGCTTAAGATTTTCTTCTTAGATTACTTGGAGATACAATTATAGAGCTGAAAAAGAAATGTTTGTGCCCATGTACACAGACATGCACACCCAATTATGGTAAGATGCATGCTTATACGCTGCTTCACGTTAAGACAGAGGCAAGTTAACAGAACAACTCACACCTTGTCTTTATTAATTGCTTAAATATTAAACTGACAACCTTTATACAAATATGAATGTAATTACATAGTTCTAATGGGGACTAGGTGTAGATAAACACATTTAGTGCCAGTAAAACTGGGGGAAAAAAAAAAAAAAAAGGTTTAAAGAACTATCATAAACATTATTCCACTACTGGCTCCTGGAAAAGAATTGGCAAATACAAAAAAAGGCAAGAATAACAGCTAACATGTATAAGGTAATATCACATAAAAAAACAATGTTTTCACCACCACAACATCCCATGCAATAGATACAATTGTTATCATGATTTTACAGACGTGCTAAAAGGTTAAATAACTTGCCCAAGGTCACACAGCCAATAAACAGCAGGGCTGAACTTTGAACGCAAGCCAACAGACTCCAAACTCTCTGCTCTAGAATCCAAGCTGCACTGCCTGCCTTTCTATGGAAAAATGTCTATAACTTTCTATGGAAAAGCACAAGTTCAACTGATGAAAAACAAAAACAGAGTTCCAGGTTCCACAAAAACGCCTGCATTGCTAAGTTCTATCAAACTGCACACAAAACCAATCACAATCTACTTCTTACGTCTCCATTTCCCACAACCCATTTGCCCTGCAGTCCCAGGATGCTCCAAGCTCACCTCTAATGTGGCGCTTTCACGATCTTCCACAGCGCAGCTCCTCCCAAGCCTCTCTCCCGCAGACACTCGGCTGGGATATGGACACACACCGCCCCCTTCCTCATCCACGCTTTCCTTAATTCCGATCCATGTCCAAAACATTTTTGACCCCCACCTTTTTTAACATCACCTTTGGTCCGTGACTGTGCACACCTGTTACCCACTTTCCCCATCTACGCTCTTACTGCCTTACAGTAAGAACCCTTAAATTAGGCACTTTAAAATTGCCTTGAATTCTTAGCATGACAACGGACGTGCCCAGGACAAATGCTTTTTCTGAGCCCAGCATTTCCACCCACCTTTCTTCAGCACATCAACAACTTTTATACTAATTGTTGCAATTTTCTTTTTTTTTTGAGACAGAGTCTTGCTCTGTCGCCAGGCTGGAGTTCAGTGGCGCAATCTCGGCTCACTGCAATCTCAGCTCAGTGCAGTCTCGGTTCACTGCAACCTCAGCCTCCTGGGTTCAAGCAATTCTTCTACCTCAGCTTCCTGAGTAACTGGGACCACCAGTGCGTGCGCCACCACACCCAGCTAATTTTTTTGTATTTTTAGCAGAGATGGGGTTTCACCATGTTGGCCAGGATGGTCTCGATCTCTTGACCTCATGATCTGCCCACCTCGGCCTCCCAAAGTGCTGGGATTATAGACGTAAGCAACAGCACTCGGCCCTGCAATTTGAACTGTTAAGGAAACACTACTTCCTTTATCTAATATCAACTGACTGATATGCCCGAACATACTTACTCTGCAATCTTACCTGTGTTACACTGACAATTTGAAGACGAGGACTGTTCAGAGGAAAAATAAACAACTCCATATCAAACCATTACAAAGTGGAGTTCAAATTATATACAACATAAAGAGTACATGTGAGTTTCTCATCTAGGGCCCCCTGGTTAGCTTTCTCACAATGCACATGTTTGTCTGTAACTTGTTCTAGAACATTAGTTCACACTGATTTGTATTTTATTGGTAACACACAACAGGCACCGCCCTAGTCTGTTTCTCCTGATACAGAACTTTGGGTGTGTGTAAGAGGGCCCCTAGAGAAGAGGCCAGAATGGGGAGGAGCATGAATTACTAGCGCATGATTCATGCTCCAACACTCGACTCTGATGTCTGGCTTTTAAGACCTTCCATTTTATGGCTCTTCCCAAGCTATTCTCTACCAACCCGGCAGAAGAGGGTAGAATGCAGAGGACAGGAAATAAGGTGATGAGAACACTGACAAATATAGCCATTGTCCCTTCTTCAAGAGCAGTAATCAAGCTACATTAGGGGCTGTTTAACCAGGAGCCTGGAGAATGACAATACAAACAGTAGACACAAGGGGGAGCCAGTGGGTCCATCTTAAAAGTGACTGGAGACAAGGAAATTTGGTTTTTAAGAACTTCAAATTCCACAGACAAGACACAAAATGGGAATGAATGAACGCTAAGAGTAACAACAGATGCCATGAAGAAAGCAGCAAACAGCAGGAGGCACTGAGATTTCTGGTTTTTAAACTCAGTTCTGAACTTAATCAAACCAAAAGATCTTTTTGTTTTAATCGTGTTCCTCAATGTGAACTCAAACATTTGACAGGGACGGCTTGGGAACGGCCATTCACATAGTAGCAACATGTCAAAATTTTTTATGATATGCAAATTTCATGTTGAAGAAAAAAGTAATTTTTAAAATTCCCTGCCTCTGTTAAATGTCTTTAACACCACTGCCCCCCATAAACCACAAAAATTGTAATGTTAATGGGCTTCTCTTAGCCTTTCCTATTTTGCATTCTGTTTTCAACCTTCAAGATAAAAAAGAAAAAAAACTACCTGAAATGCATTTCGGTACTAGACAACTGACCTTAATTCCAGGAAATGTTTTATGATAAATATATTGTGGGTAAAGGTTTTAAATATTGCTACTAAAGATGTAATTATAGATGCTCAAGTTTTCATACTATCGAAGCACATTAATTAAAACCTGGCACAGCTGAAGGAAATCGGAGAACATGAAAAGAGGGTGCATGTATTTCATATCGAGGGCACATAATTATTACCTATTTTTGATAAAGATGTTGGGGAGAAGGCGAGGGCGCTGTTCCTGTAATAACTTTGATCATCATTGAATACAGAAGAACCAATCCATCAAAATCCAAAGGGATTTGCTTATTGTTATGCTTTTAGAAAGCTCATCAGGTATTTCCACCAAATGCTTCCTATCGACAATAATTAAACATCTGGTAATGGTGACCTACGTGTGGCTGCTGAACTTCCTTGGATGGTCTTTTCCATTAATTATGTACATGCTGGGAACTGAGAGAGAATTTACATTATGAATAATAACTCAGACTGCAGGAGAAGTCAGAAAGCGACAGGGGCAACTCCCTGCTGTCCTCACTGCTAACTGTATTAACGCCTTGTTAGTGCTCCTCCATTTGGGAACAGATGCTACAGAAAAATTGCAAAAGCACCAAGCTAAGGCATGCATGCATCTTGAGGTAAACATGTTGTGAGGAAACAGCCTTCTAATAAACATTCAACACTGTGCCTAAGGGTGGGAAGAGCCAAGCTGTCACATTTTCTACGTTTTACTCTGTGTGGAATTACGGATCTGAAGCAAACTTTGACCCTAAACTTCAGCAAATAAGGCCCAGGTCTGTTCTAGCCTTGGCAATAGCATACATAAGAAAAGGCAGATCATAGCTGGGCACGATGGCTCACATCTGTAATTCCAGCACTTCTGCAGGGCTGGCTGAGGCCAGAAGTTCGAGATCAGCCTGGGCAACACAGGAGACCTCATCTCTACAAAAAATAAATAAATTTAAGAAAAAAAGTAAGAAAAGCCAGACTGAGAACATGCACACTTTGAAATATTTCATAGTTCCTTAAATTTCAGGGTGAAATGGGAGAGAAAGGTGGAACTGAGACAATGAAGTTTTTAGTGGTCTGAAATTCATCTGAGATGAAATAATTATTGACAGAAAAAAAAAGAAAGTCCACTTGGATATATTTTTAAAAATCACCTGATAACCATTTATTCTCTTTGGTTCCTCATCCTTCCCCAAACCCACGTGAGTTTACTAATTAACACATCACTGCTACCTTTCTACTTCTCAGCTTTTTTTTGAGACTGAGTCTTGCTCTGTTGCCCAGAATGGCGTGCAGTGGCACGATCTCAGCTCACTGCAACCTCTGCCTCCCAGGTTCCAGTGATTCTCCTGCCTCAGCAACCCTAGTAGCTGGGATTACAGGTGTGTGCCACCACGCCTGGCTATTTTTTGTATTTTTAGTAGAGACATCATTTCACCATGTTGGCCAGGCTGGTCTCAAACTCCTGCCTGACCTCAGGTGATCCATCTGCCTCAGCCTTCCAAATTGCTGGGATCACAGGCATGAGCCACCACACCCAGCCACTTCTCAGCTTTTTAAGGGATCAAAAAATATGAGTGGATTTATTCAAATGTTTTTTTAAAAAAACACTTTATACGTTTTGGAAAAGATGTAAAAGTAAGTACTAGTACTAATAACTAGATACTATTTTAATTTACAATATTCCTTAGAATAAATTCAGTTTGCTGAATTCTAAATATCATTTAATAAACACCAAAAATAATGTCAGGAACCAGTAAGAAAAACAAATCACAACAGAGAATTTAATCTAAGGAAGAGAGTAAACAGGTAACTGCAGAGCACCTACCACCCACAGAGCTGAGGAAATTGGCTTATCAGAATCTAGAAGC